GGTATGAATATTTTCACATAAATTATGTGCATCGATGATACAGGGACCATTGGAAACTATTTAAGAGTAATTTTAAAAAGAAGGGTTTTTTTTGCATTCTGACAGGTTTGTGTTCACAAACTGTAATTAGGAAGTGTAATTTAGCAACTATGTCAGTGAAAATCTTTTTGCTACAAAGACCAGGATAATTATATCTACCTAGGAAACAACTGGAGTTCTCTTGCATTATTTATAGGCTGGATCTAAGCACAATTAGGTCTCTTGGTAACAAGCTTCTATTCATGCTATGCCTTTTCCATATCATTTTTATATGATTTCATTTTCATTGTTGCCATTTGTTCATAAAACTATGGGAAAATAACTCATGTAATCAACTTACCAGCTGAGCATATTATGTCTGGAATGTCACCCAGACACTATTGTGGTAGGATACATCATGGTTATACCACTCAATATAATAAATAAGGTCTCAGCGCCCCTTGACCTCTTTGTGACACTTAATTCAACAGCTTTCATTACACCAAGATATAGATTCTGCTTCCTGTAATGAGCGGTGTGCACATTTTAGACTTAGCAATTTATTTCACTCTGATTAGTTAAGTAAAATGACAGCTTGAGCTTACATACTGCAGAGTAATATACAGTCTACTTGAATTCCCCACTTTTGCACAACCTGAATAACAGGAGAGTTCCTACCTCTTCAAGAAAATGAAGAGGAGAAGGAACATTTTTGTGTTGTTAGGCTTACTGACTCTGAGTTCTGTCAGTAACTTCAAACTGATACTCATATCAACATGTACCAATCTCCATCTGCTGTTAACTCAACAGTGCTATCTCTGTGTCTTCTCATTCCTTGAACCTTTAATATTTTTCTGTTAAAAATACAGTTCTTGGGGCTGTTGGCTCATCACTTAGAGCATAGGCTGCAGGTTCTTTTGTTTGTTTATGTTTTTGAATCAGGGTCTACCAGTGTAGCCCTGGCTAGCCAGGAACTCACTATGTACTGCAAGTGGGCCTTGAATTCACAGAGGAATGTGCCTTCCTCTGTCTCCTAAGAACTGAAATTAAAATCACTATTTTGATAGTTGCTAATCTCACTGAGAAGCTTTTGTGATCCACTCTATATAGAATGCATTATTTTCACCTATCTTCCTAAGAAAGCCTCAACACAAAGGAGAAGTTGTATAATCACCATACATGAAGACAGATGCAAATGAAGTCACAATTGCTTGGGTATGTGTAGTTTTCTGAAATGCCAGGAAGCCAAGTTGGTATGATCCAATTGTCCCCGCCCCATTTTCAGTGGCTCACAAATGATTTTAAGGTTTACAAAGTTGAGAAACCAGATGGTTCCCTTTCCAAACATTTATATTTTCCTCACCCAGTAGCAGGAAGTTCATTTTAGACTGCATTTCTGTGTTTGAATTGTTGTGTTTCCTCTAAGTTAGAATACAAACAGGTTAAGATGCATGATAAATTTTCAATATATTGTACAAACTGTGTTCTTGCTCTTGTTTGGATAACATTGTGTGATTCATTCCAAAAGTACACTGTTGAAAATCTCAGATAAGGGAAGTGAAGTGCTGAGCAGATTTCTGGGAACAGATATGGGAAATTTACACATTTGTTTTCCATTTCAACTAACTGAAGCACTAACAAGATTTTATTCCTGAGTATTGAGGGAAAAAATCTTTTGATATTTTGTGAATAGTAGATTTATCAACAATGTTAATTTATTTATATAATCATATTGGTAGTGAGTTATTTGAATTTCTTTCTCATATCACAATGTGATTATATATGGAGTAAGTCTGAACTAAGATTTGAGAGAGAGAGAGAGAGAGAGAGAGAGAGAGAGAGGGAGGGAGAGATGGACAGCAGTCTGAGAACTTGGGAACCAGCATAAGACTGAACCATGCCCCCTGAATGTGGGTGTCAGTTGGGAGGCCTAGGCAGTCTATGGGCCTCTGGCAGTGGAATCAGTCAGTATTTATCCCTAGTATCCTAATGGACTTTGGGTTCCCATTCCCTATGGAGGGATAATCTCTCAGCCTAGATACCCTAGGGAGAGCCTAGGCCCTGTCCCAAATGATGTGACAGATTTTGATAATCCCCCTTGGGAAGCCTCATCCTCCCTGGGGAGTGGATGGGAGTGGGATGGTGGATTGGTAGGGGGGCATGGAAGGACAGGAGGAATAGGGAACGGGGATTGGTATATAAAATAAGATTGTTTTTAATTTAAATAAAAATGTATTTTAAAACTACTACAGCTGTCTTCAGAGTTAAGAATTCTAACACAGTTGAATATCTTATGTTCCAAATCAATCATTCTTGGAGGTTCTACATATCCTAAGTAGTAAAATGTCAAATATTTTCATTTCTCAAGTCTTTCTTTTTAGTATCTTTGAGACAACCTTGCTAATAAACTATGGGAACTTACAGAGATTATGGTGTATAAGTAGTTGGTCCTATTTGCAAATGGCAGGAGTAAAGAATGTGAAATTCCATCTGAACATTCTACCTCTCCTGTGCTACTGATGGCTTTCCTGCAAAACAAAGATATGTTCACTTTGATCCATCCCTGCACAAGTGCCCATATGCTTTCTCAAGAGAACAATAACGTGTTTAGAGCTCCAGACCCATATACCATTGTTTTCCAAAACTTGGCATAGTGACTAAGTACCAGAGAAGCTTCCAATTTAACCGCTATCCTTGGCCAGAACACATAGCAGCTTTGGAAAGTGTTTGTTTCTTGACCTCCATACAGACACACCATGGATAATCCAAAATTAAAGGTGTTGAGTAGCTCCTAGAGCAGTAGCTTTCATCCAGCCAGCAAACTAATACCTTCAGAGCTGCAAAGGAATTGAGTATTCAGGACATTGTCTGTAGCCAATGTAAAAAAAAAAAAAAAAAAAGCCTTTGCGTTTATTAAGAAAGCTATATTCCAAAAGTTAACCCAGCTTATTCTACTTTGCAGCCTGATACAACCACTATCTTAGACTTCTGTGACCATGCCAGCCTACCAAAAAGTGGTGAGAGTGACCTTTTGTTGTCACCTGGTTTTTGCAATGCCCACCATTCCAAGCATTATAACTTCCCAATTCAAGGACCTCTTTTTATACAAATTGGCTCTACAAAACTAGAGCATATGAATAAGACTCCATTCAAAGCACAGAAGTCCTGGAACTGCTCTTGCAGAACAAAATGATCACCTTGCAAGGAGCATCTTCCTTTCTCCAGCTGTCTGCTACTTCCCTTTGTGTATCCATTATACACCTTGCACTGCTCAGTTAGGTCTCAGTTCACAGGTGCAAAGGGTATGATCTAATCTGGGGACCCATGTGTCAAAACTGGAATTCAGGGCAACATGTCAGCCTTAATTTCAAGATGATTGTGTTTTGGGTCCTGAGCAAGCTAGAGAGCATGGGTATTTTCAGCCTCCCAAATTAACCAGAAAAGGCCATATAAATCAGGGTGAATGAGGCCATTTTAGGTAATTTATTGAATATTTCAATTGAGGACCAAAGTTTAAATGTTTCTTTGGCTTCCTTGATAAATGAATGAATGCTTTTTACAGTCTATTGGGTAAATGGTAGAAAGAGAAGAGAAACTTTATCATTTGATTTTTTTAAGATCTGTTACATTAACAAAATAGTGTTTACCTTTATTTTTTTTTTTTTTTGGTTTTTTGAGACAGGGTTTCTCTGTGTAGCTTTGGAGCCTATCCTGGCACTCGCTCTGTAGACCAGGCTGGCCTCAAACTCACAGAGATCTACCTGCCTCTGCCTCCCGAGTTCTGGGATTAAAGGCATGTGCCACCAACGCCCAGCTAAAAAACAGTGTTTTCTATGTTTCGTGTTTAATAAACCTGTTTTTCTAAATGAATAACTGGAGCAATATCATGGATGGAATCATTATGTGAATTAAAATTGTTTGATCATGGTTAAATTTATTTTTAAATTCAGAGTTAACATTTCTGCAATGTGATGAACTTAAGTTCTGAAGTGACAGCAGGCTTTGATACTGCCTCCTATTAATCACTCAAAAGACACCACAGTACACTCTGTGTGGAATAAAATGGTGCTTTCTATACTAATATGGCTATAAGACAAGTTGCATTAGCATGCTCTACCCCCACAATTTCCTAGCCAATGGGCATTCACGGAGACCTTTGTATATGGCAATGTTAGATTACTCGATGTCCTACAACATTGGAGACATCTAATTTGCTTCGAGCACTGTGGCAAATATTCTGTGTTCAACCCAAACTGGAATCCACCCATGATTTATGTGTTAAAACTAATTTGTAAATCTAAATCTAACCCACATGTGAAATGAATTTAAATCATTAATAGAATCTAGTAAAATTTGCTAAATGTCACTGTGTGTGTGTGTGTGTGTGTGTGTGTGTGTGTGTGTGTGTGTGTGTGTGTGTGTGTGGTGTTATAGTGTGTTTTCCTGTGCCACAACAGCCAATAAAGGAAGGCTGTGTGTTATTTAAAGACTATCAAGGGTTGGGGAGATGCCTCAGTGAGTAAAGTACATACTGCACAAGTGTGAGGATCTTCGTGTGATTCCCAGCACCCACATAAGCATGGCTGTAATCCAGCACTAGGAGGCAAATGCCAGAGGATGCTCAGGCTTATAGGCCAGCCAGTCTGGACAATGGTTGGCCTCCAGGTTCTATGAGAGACCCTGTCTCAAGACTAAGCAGAGAGACATAGAAGAAGGCACTTAGTGTCAAACTCTGACTTCCAAATGTGCACTCACAGTGCATACACCACACACACACACACACACACACACACACACACACACACACACACACACACACATATACACACACAAACACACAAACACAATGTCTACTGAAATTCTTAGAAAAACTCTAACCACATTTCTACTCAAAACTGGGAATTAGAAGAGGATTCCTCACTCTGTGAAAATGATTTTAATTTTTAAATTATGGAGTAATTAGACACTTGCTTTTCTTTCAGCCATTACTTGTCGAAAGCAAGATGGAGGACAGGCTAGCATCCAGGAGTGCCTCCAGTATGCAGGCCCTGTGCCAGCCCTGACCCAGGCTTGCCAGATCCCCTGCCAAGATGACTGTCAATTTACCAGCTGGTCCAAGTTTTCTTCATGCAATGGAGACTGCGGTGCAGTTAGGACCAGAAAGCGTGCAATTGTTGGTAAGAATAATTGAGATGCTAAAGGAGACTCTTAGCGTGACAGAAAAATACAATAAAACTCAAACCAAGTGCATTCTGACAGTTTATTTGAAAACCCTTATTGTTGCTGCAGTTATACTGAATATTTCAGAATACTGAGGTGTGTATTTTAATGCAAGGTAACAACAATAGAAGCATAATATCACTTTGGAAGAAAGATAAGGCAAGCTAATTTCCTATGCAACAAACAATAAAGCATTATTGTCATTTAAACATACACCCTTAGTGCATTGCCTGGAGCAAAGAGTAGAGGCTACCCTTTTACCATCTCAGCCTTTTCTCAGGACCCATAGGCTGAGTTATCTCCTGCAGTGAGAAACGCAGCATTAATTCTGCCTGAAAGCTGTGCTTAAATACAATCCCAATGGCTTTAAAAAGTGAGAAAAACAGTGACATAGCTACACTGAAGCTGGATGTATTTGGACACACTGTCAGGAACAAAAAAGAAAAAGAAAAAAGAAACCAGAATTGTGGACTGTTAAGAGTTGTCAAATTGTAAGATGATCCAAAGTAAAATGAAGACTGAAGACCCTGGAAAACTTCATATTCAAACCATATATATTGCTTAAAGAATATATGTGACAGAATTATATTTGTATATCATGGACATTTCATATGATAGGGCTAGCAAAATTAAATATATAATTTTAAAGTACACATATTACATACATAAGGATTTTTAGGAAAGAATTTCTTTTGGTTCAAAACATTTAAAATGTTTTATTCCAATACCCGAATCTTCTTTTTGAGTACTAATGGTATTTTCTGTATTAGTCATCAAGTATGTCAAAAAGACTATTGTTCAGAAATTTTGAGATATACAAAATAAGAGACCAAGAAATGAGCCTCAAATCTCCATTTCTGAATCGAACTCTGCCACCTCCTTGCATTCAGCAAAAGAGAATGCAATCCAATGAGTTGTGTATCTCTCTGCCTCTTGTATTTTTGCATATATTAAAACGAAGAGGTTTGTGCAATTGCCATAAACTCCTGAGTCAGTACAAACGAGGATTTCAGTCATTTCAAAGAGTGTAAAAATCAACTACAATCCTTTATGCAAAGTGGACTATTTTTAAATGAAAAAGTAAGAAAAGTTCCATTTTGCAAAGCCCAAAGCACCCAATATCAGCAAAAATGTATTTAGAAAGCACTGAGAAATGAGAAAATATCATTTATTTATAGGCTACTGTTGAATAGAATCAAAAGCAGTGAACGGAAGTTTAAGAATGTGAAAACTCTAAGGATGTTAGAAATTAATAATGCTATTTTCCAATGTAATTCTCTTACAGGAAAAAGTAAAAAGAAGGAAAAATGTAAAAACTCCCATTTGTACCCTCTGATTGAGACTCAGTATTGTCCTTGTGACAAATACAATGCACAGCCTGTGGGAAACTGGTCAGACTGTATTTTACCAGAAGGGAAGGCTGAAGTGCTGTTGGGAATGAGGGTACAAGGAGACAGCAAAGAATGTGGACAAGGATACCGTTACCAAGCAATGGCGTGCTACGACCAAAATGGGAGACTCGTTGAAACATCGCGATGCAACAGCCATGGTAATCCAATATTACTGCAGTGCTCATAAATGCTCTTTGGTAAAGGAAAATTTGCAGAAGTGTGTTCTAAATGAAAGGCTAGACACCCCACAGTCCACCTTGTGTGCAGAACACAACATAAAGCAGCACAGTCCAGTGACTCAGAGTTGATAGATGAGTCCCAAAGTGGTTAGAAGCAGCATTATGGGGCTCACATTATTAAGCGGGAAGGCAATTCTGTTGGGACATATTCCCAGTTCGTTCAACAGACCCAGCAATCTCTAACTGATATGTGAACAATAAGGAACTGTAAAGAGAAAAGATTTGAATACAGAGAGATTAAGTTTTAAATGAGGGAAACTTTCAACAACCAAACAGGCAAACTGCAATATGCCCAGAATGGCAGTAAAGTAACAGAAAAGAAAGGCAAAACTCTCAGAGATCTGTTCATGGTGCATTGACCTGAGCCTGGAGGCGTGGGAGGGGGGGTGTAATACTTCTACAAATCTATAGTCACTTTTATTTTGTACAGTAAACTGCAGGGACAATAATTAAGTTGTCGAAAACTTGTAAATAGTTTCTCCTTGGAGCCAGTGTTTACAATGAATCCTTAAGTTTTGATCTGAATGTAGCAGTAGCAATATATCACCACTATTCTTTAACGTTAATAAATATGCTTTTAAACGGAATGAAGTCATTTTACAGTGTATTGGCATGAGTTGGAGATGGAATGTATTTGCAAAAGTTAGAGATGACATCCTGCCTTGTTACAGAAAAGACCAGGAAGGGATGCATTAAATTGCTAGGAGCTAGTACAAAATAGTTACCCTCCAACCTTCATGAAATAACTTCTGTGATTTATTATAAGGTCCAGAAGACAATGCAAGCTAATAGTACCATTTCACATTTATAAACTTTCAAGGTATCCTGCTGACACATTCTTGTAGTCCCTTAAGCCTTTCCCAAAAAAAGAGCTTCTAAAAATCTTGTCCTTTATTTTAACTTTGTCTCATAATTCTTGTTTTTCAAACCATGAAGAATCTAAAAACATTAAGTGTAGATATAAGTATTTTCAGGTTAGAAAGTGAGCATTGCTAAACCAAAGATCTCTCTGAATTTAAGCAATAGCTGTAAACATCTGTAAAAACATCTGTAAAAGTAACACAATTTTACCCTTTACATCAAATAACAAAAATGTTATCAATTAGATTCCAAAAATATATGTACAGTTCCTATTTTGAGATGATAATGCATAAAATTTAAATAGTTATTCAATGCAAAACTGAAAATTACTTAAACTGAGTTTCCTTTGGAGTACAGGATGTAAGTATTTGCTCAAATTTAATTTTGTCAGTGTACTGATTACTAAGATGATAATTTGTTTTGAACATTACCTTCGGCTTCCAGCATGGCTTTCATACAGTTCTGCTTCTACATTGATCTACTAATAAGATGCATGAGAACTTTAATACTCATTTTTTGGGGTTGGAAGAGAAAAGCTTTTTTAAGATGCTGGAGATCAAAAACAGGAGTTTGAACATACTGGGTAGGTATTTCACCAAAGTTACATATATTTCCAGTGCCCAGAAAACAATTTTTAGCAAATTACAAGACTATCACAATTTGCTACTTAATCAATATAGCTAAGCTACAAAATTAAAAAATTAAAAACAGAAATGCAAACTTCTTACCTTAGTGTGATCAATTTGAGGAATGGAGAATGAGGCTCTACACTCCAAGGAAGGTACAGACAGCAAAAGAATATCTTGATGAATGTGAAAGAATCTAAGAACAGTTCTTCACCAAGAAAGCCCTTCCATTCTGAGTTCTTCGGTAACAGTGTCATCTTTAATGATGATCATGTCCCTGTCAGCATCCTCGACTTCTTTTATCTCTTTTCATCTATAATAGGGTACCCAATTAGATACCTTAGCATTTACTAACACTGATTCAAAGGAAAGGCTAAGGAATTTCATTTATGTTGACATATTTCTGTTTTACAATTATTTGTCTTTGGCATGTTCTGTCAGTTCTGATAGTGTATGGAATGCCAAAGCTGGCTACAATGTTCTAGGCATGCTCTGTAGCATTGCTCTGTACCTTCTCACAGTCAAGTCAACATTCTAGATGTATGACGGATGTGGAGTTGAATGTAGCTTGAAGAAAACTATCTTCCTGTTTCAATTTAAGCATAAAGTTGACCCCTATGTGTATAAAGTGCAATGATATCAATCTCTTCCTCAATTCTCGTTTGCCTTGGGGCAGTTCTGTTTAATCACTGCTGTCCATCATCTGTGACTTTTTTATCAGTAATTACAATGTTATGCAATTCGATTTTCCCCAGTTTAATTGTATGTTATTTTAGACTATTTCCCATGCGGACACACTTTTTTAATTTCTTAAACTTGGGGCACGATTTTATTACCACAGCCTTGACTTTCTTATAATGATAGACTCTAGGCTGAGAAATGCTACAACCATATCTCTACAATTAGATCTTATATAATGGTTTCTGTTCAGTCTATGTAAACCTTTTGTCTTTTAATAACGTCAGATCTTAATATGTAGTGTAGGATTATGTAAGTTTCTATTCTTTCATTATGAAATCTAAAATACTGATGTTAGTTAGCCTTAATATTTTAAAGAATCTCAGAGGGTAACGGCTCATGCTGTCTGGGGGGGGGGTAAGATTTTCATTTGAGTATAAGTGACAGATCCAGCACTGTAAAATCCCACATTCTGTCCTACATTTGGTACTTATAAGGCATGCATCAGCTTATAAACATACCATACACTCATTATATATGTTTTCATCTACCATACATGAATGCAGATTTGCTAGGATGCTTGAGACAACTGTACTAACTGATACCATCTTAGCTTCTGGAAGAGTTGATAAATATTTACAGAATGTATGAATGAATGAAATACTGGAGAGAATTTTTCAACATGAAAAGAGTAGGTTCCTGCACTTTCTTTTTTCTAGCTACCTTCCCTATGTAGCTACATTTGTGAAGGATAACCAAATGGATCATTGAAAACTGTTGTGATATTTAGAACCAATAAGAGCTACACATGCCACAAAATGCCTGTGTGATTCTGATTGGATGTTGAGATTCCAGTCTGCCCATTAAATGAGAGAAAAAATAATAGCCACATAGCCATCCTTCTCAATTAGATTAATAATACCCCTATAATAAAAAGTTCTTTCATTGTCAAAGTTTCCTGTTCAAAATGGCCTGGTTGTATAATAGTTTAATTCTTGGTTCCAGTTACTAATCAGGATGTCTTGAATTTTTCTCAGTGGTGTTTACAAAATTTAATTGGTAGTTTGAGATTTTGGACTCTCTGTGTTTTCACTCACAGTTCCTGTGAAAATAAGGAATAATTATTCCAACTTCTTTTTCCCTGAAAGATATGTTTTATATGTGGAATGAGAAAATATATAAAATGACAGATATCCCAATCTTTAAGTCTCCAAGTCACATCATTGCTTCTAGACAATCCACTTTAAATTTACCCTCAGGAAAATTTTACTTGCTCTTTTGAATAGTCAGTTTAAGACATAAAGTGGTACCACAACAATAGACTTGGGGAATTCCCCACAATTCATGGCACAAGTGACAGGAAAGCAACTGTTCTTGCAGTTTAGTTACATAAGCTTGATCCTCTGTCTTAGTTACGGTTTCTATTGCTCTTGGGGAGCAACTTGGGGAGAACTTTATTCAGCTTACTCATCTACAACACAGTTCATCATCAAAGGAAGTCAGGACAAGAACCTAGGGGCAGGAGCTGATGCAGAGGCCATGGACAAGTGTTGCTTACTGAATTACTTCCCAGTGCTTACTTAGCCTGCTTTCTTAGAGAATCCAGGACCACCAGTCCTGGGGTGGGTGGCACCACCCATAGTGGACTAGGGCCTCTCCCATGAATCACTAATTAAGAAAATGCCCTACAGGCTTGCTTGCTTACTGCTCAATCATACGGAAGCATTTTCTCAACTGAGGCACTCTCCTCTCTGTTGACTCTAGTTTGTGTCAAGTTGACATAAAACAATCCAGTACATCTTTACACCTCAACTTACCTTCAACTTAACTCTCTGCTTAGTAATGTGGTTCTTAAAATGGTTTCACGGTGCTCCCCAGGCTCTGCTGTCCAGTGTAGTCTTTATTAGCTTCCGTGTTTGTTTGGGTTTGGTTACTGGTTTTAGAATGAACATGTTGCACTGCTTAGAATAAATTTAACAGCTGGAACAATTCACTATGTGCAATAATAACCAAAGAGACAAAAAAACTGTCTACTTGTGGTTTCTGCCACTGTATTTCAATCCTCTTTCTGTTAACCTTTGACCTCTTATAGTTTCTAGTATAATAACTTCAGTCAAAGGGAGCAAAGGGACCCTATATGAACTATATGAAGTGATAAAATAGGTGACATCCAAGTAGCTTTTTGATTGATTGATTGATTGATTGATTGATTGATTGATTGATTGATTTGTGTGTGTATTGATTTGTGTGTGTGGCAGGAAACAAGTGCCATAACATTTGTGGAATTGAAAGGAGAGCTTGTAGGAGTACGTTCTCTTCCTCCATTCTGTGTGCTTCAGGGATAGAACTTAGGTCTTCAGGCCTAGAGGCAACTACCCCCTCCTGTTGAGGCATCTCCTTGGCCCCATGGGAACTTTTTGATGTAAGCAGATATTTATACAGTACTTGTTTTGTTATATCACAACTGTGAAATACATAGGGCTGTTTATGTGAGTTTAGATAGAGAAATCTACTCTGATAGTGCATGGAATCTGGGTGAATTTAGCCATTGAGTAGACAAGGTACAGAAGTAACCTAACAAACCACTCAGCCTTTCTAGTGGTACTGATGTTTTCTGAGAATGTGTATGAGTACACAGTAAATATGAAGATCTGTTCCTTCATGTTTATCTAAAGCAAACAAATAAAATACAAATGGTATTTTGTCATATTTACCTGGGTACTTCAGCATGACAATTAATTGCCCAATGTTGAT